AAGTTGTTGAAGGTCCGGCACGCCCTAGGGCACAGCGGTGTAGGAATAATAATATTTCCACCACGAGACATTCAGGCGCAGAGTATGGCGACGATGGTGCGAGTCCAGCTTCGACGCCGGGCTTGAGCAACAACTCCCGGAGGAATTCGCTCAGCTTGGCTAGCTGTGGACTGTGTGGTGGCTCGATGCCTGTCTCGCCCCGAAACTTGTCGTGATGAAATCGCATTACATCCTCGTAGAGCTGGGTAACCGACCTGGAGTAATCGACGGGAATCTTTCGCTGCGTATCGCAGTCGCTAGAGAGACCGATGACGCCGTAGACCTTGTCTTGTACTTCCTTGCAAAGGCGGCCCAATGCGGGCTGGGTTTTGATTTGCGCCCATACAGCAGCTCTCCGATGACTGTCGGGACCCACCATCTGTTGCCCCATGACATGGCGTTCTCCAAGTGTTTAGCGTCCTACGTTCAGCTGCTAAAGCGACCTGTTGGTTGAGGCTGCGTGGTGTGGTTTTCGAGTGCGTTCTGGTCGTTGGTGTGTGTAAGTCGCGATTGTCGGGCGTGGTGATGAGGGATTTCCGGGCGCTCGAGACCTCACTTCCGATCCTCGAAATCGACGTTTTCGGCAGAGCGTGTTACATGCGTGGCCCTGACGGAGGTGCTCGGCTCGCGGCCGGACAAGCCTTAATCCCGGGGGTGTGGTATTACAGGCACGGGTCGGAGGCGTGGCAGTATATGCAGCCTGAGCGATTGGGTTATTGGATTTAAATCACTTATTCTCTTTTTGATGGGAGCATGGCGCAACGGAATGGTTGCACGTTGAGGCGACGTTCCGCCGTGATCTCTATTTTTTTTTGGCCAGCACTCTTTCTCTACCCAGTAAGTGGGCTCAGAGGCGCCGCTGTAAACCGATAGCTTGATAATCATATATCCTTGATAATCGTATTCCGGTAGGGATAACCGGTGTCGCTTCGGTCCGCGACGTTCTCGGGGAGCACCGGGCTCGACTGGGTTTTCGATCGGTTGCACCGTCTCTGTCTAGTTAATCATCTGGTCGTTGACGCGGATCTCACGATGCAGGGCTGCCTCGGTATAACACTGCCGACTTGGACGCACTGTCCTCGGTATTGATGTTCTTGGCCGAATTCCTTCCCGCAATCGCGTCGATCTTTTGTGCGGCCGCATCCGACTAATCCTTGTCAATCCCCGCGCGGCATCCTTGAGCATCTTCGAGCTCGCTTCATCCTTCACCTCTCCATCTCAATCTCTGCCAATTCACGACAGACCGCCTCCACGGGGAAAATCTTCTCAAATCATCCATCAGGTAGGCGATCTGGTCAACCACTTTTTCGAGCGCTTTACGTCATGCAATGCCCACGCCGTCTTCCGGACTAAGCTCGTGCGGTCCTGTCTCGAGCGGGCGAGATTTCTGTGACTGTCGTGCAGCGCTCGACCGATCGGCTTCATATCCTTATCCTCGAATAGCACCAAATCCTGCTGGTCCTTAACGAGCGCGTATCGCTTCGGCGTTTTCCGGGCCGACTCGAATAAGAGTGCGATTTCCTCGAGGATCGATTGCGTTAGTTGAATCGACTTGTCGGAAGCTGATGCTGAACCGCGGGTCGTGGTTGACCTTGTCTGCTTCGCCCCATCGTCCCAGGCAGGCCCTCGCAATGTCCAGCTTGAGCTGGCATCTCTCGTGATTGCGTCCGAAACGGCGGCTCAGCTGGGCGAACCCGAAGCAGTCAACACAGTTGTTGAAGAGCGCTGCGATGTTTAGAGCGCCAATGACGACTCCGAAAACCTTTGGCAGTTACCTAGACGAAGGACGATTTTGCAGAGAGGACGAGATTATATTGCAGAATTCGACTGAGCGGAGGAAGAATGGCGGGATGTTAGACGAGAATCACAGGTCAACGCCGTTCATTGCGCGGGAGCAGACCCCTCAGCAGCCGGGGGCAAGGCCAATAACATCGCACCGCAGCCTGATCGAGGCTTTTCATTAATGGGTGTTGGACTGGGCAGCACGAGCCGCATCCACCACATTGTGAAGTAACAACTTCGTCTCGCGCCACCCTCACCGATGACAACCAACGCGGTTGAAGTACTACGTGCCTCCGGGCAAGCGAGGGTTCAGGTCGGCGATGTACACATCTACAACGAACCGAACGCTAGCCAGTGTCTTGCCGATTTACGATTGACTGACCCCCGCGTCTACTACCAGTGTCAATGGAGACACAAAGCATTCCCAATCTCGGACTACCAGACTCAGTTTCCAAACAAGACCGACGGCATCGTATCGTCCATATCGGGCTGAGCCTGAGGACTGTTGTGTTGGCATCCATGCCTGGAGAAGCACGCCGGTAGGATGCGTATCTTCGCAGCAAAGCATGCACGATTCCGATTTCCACTCGATCGAGAGCTCCGCCGTCCGAAACTCGCCGTCGATGGCTACAGTACACGGAGTGGCGCCGTCCTACCAGTGGCAAGCGTGCCCCGCACCGCGGAGGCGAATTCCCATGTTGGACCCCTCCCCGCAATTCTTCCGCCCTGGTCTACGCGATCTGGATCTTCTTTCGGCTTCAGTACTTCATCTGTGCAATAGCTTCATCGAGAAGTTCCTCAGACCACAACACCAGGCCGATACAGATGACACAGCGTGATGTTAGCAATGGCCGATCCCTGGGATTCCACCGCTGCCCCGTCTGCTTCAAGACGTACAAGCGACGTGAGCACCTACAACGCCATCGCAGCTCACACACGTCGGAGCGACGGCACCGCTGTGGCACGTGCGGTGCTGCTTTCCAGCGATCCGATGTGCTGAGGCGCCATCTCCAGACCTGCGATGGCCCGGCTGCCCCGTCGTCCAGCCGACGACGCTCTTGCGACCGCTGTGTCCGCCAGAAGAAGGCGTGCAATGCCGCCCAACCGTGCCTCAACTGCGAAAGAAGGTCGCTCGAGTGCCGCTATTCAAGTTCAAACCAGTTGGCGTCACTCCCAGTACAGCCCGCAGTACCCCCGGCTGACTCCAGTCACGCACACCTTCAACCTAGCCCCAACACACAAGCAAGGCCTGGCCATTGTGAACCTATCGACTTCACGTTCGACCACATCCCGTTCGATGATCTCGACACCTTCATCGCGCAGGCAGTGTCGCAGTTCCCCATGTTGGATGGCCCATCGCCTGACCCCTGGCCTGACAATGCGAGCTTCACCCAGTCGCAGGCGACGACGGCCTCCAGAGGCATCGATCCATTCCCGCAGGAGCGGTCGGAGACCTCGAGCTACCGCGGGTACTCGTTCCGCTTTCTCTCCGAACGCACCAGCCGGACCGGTCTGGTGTCGTCGTTTGAATGCGCCACTCTTGCCCAGCGCCAACAGGTTGTCGCGGCGTTTCACCAATCCCAATACATTGAACAGCAGCCCCCGGACTTTCTGCTGGCCGTTCCGTCGCTGCCTATTTCGGCTGATGAAGTCGACCCACAGAACCCATCACTCCCCCTGGGCCTTGTTTTTCCAGAAACCGACCTCTCCTCGTGGTCCTCTTGGACTCACGATCCCGTTGTTATCAAGCTGCAACAAGTCGTCTTGCTCGTCAAGAAGGTCGTCACGACCAAGCCACATGACAGGACCATCACAATAAACTGGTCGGCGGCACTCGAACACAGGTGCCGGCAATTCTTCTCGCCTCCGAGATTCGCCAAGTTCATCGAGCTGTACTGGTCGGTCTGGCACCCCAACGTCAACATCCTTCACCGTCCTACCTTCGACACGGCCAGTTCCAAACCGATTCTGCTGGCCGCGATGGCTTTGATCGGTAGGGCTCTGTTCACCCACCGCTTTAAGGAGAGCGTTCTGACACCGCGGTAGGCTCCTGTGTCTCCCCGGATCCGGTCGACATCGAAGACGCCAGGATGTGGTTCAATTGCGTCGAGGAGATGGTGTTCACCGATGACGACTTCTGCAGAGACATTGAGCCGCCCGCCGTCTGCGACATCACGTTGCCCATCAACACCGTTGTGAACCGACCGACACTCGAAGCACTCCAGGCCGCTCTCATCGTCTGCCTCTACCAGAACTGGGAAGGCACCGACGCGAGCAAACGACGGATCCGACGCCATCGCTTCAGCACTGTGGTATCTGTAAGGTTTGCCCAGAATGACAAAGCAACTCGCGCTGGGCATCATGATCCGCTTACCAACAACAACCAGACAGCGAGAGACGTCGGCATCGACACGGCACGCCACCTGGACTATACCATGCAGCCCAAGCATGAGTTCAACTGGGGCGAGTACGTGATGAGGGAGGGCTTGATCCGGTAAATTGGCCTCTGATCGCCCTACTGCATCAAGCCGAGGACGAGGTTGCTGACCTGATTTATGTTGATAGGATCTTCATGTGGGTCTTCCTGGTTGACACGGCGTTTGTCATCTACAACAACCTCCCGCACCGGATGGTCATCAAGGAGATGAAGATGCACATGGCGAGTCCCGAGGCCTGCTTTCAAGCCGTGACGGCAGAGGAGTGCATCGGCCAGATCCACCGCTGGATGCCGCCCACCAGCCCCTTTTGCACTCTCCTCTTGCGCGAGGCGATCGAGAATATCTGCCTCGACACGATGACGCCCGAATCGCAATGGCAATTCGCCCAGCTCGGGCCACTCAATCTGTTCGCGATGGTGTCAGGTGGGCCATTCTTTAGTTCAGACATTCCATCTTCACATATTCACTGACAAAACCTCCTAGCAATCCACTACATGATTTTCCAACACCAAAACCTCCTGGCCGTCGAAGGCCAGCTGGTCCCCATCCGCAACGGCCTGCGCAACTGGATCGAAATATGGGAAAAGTACGCCGAGGTGCCGCCGGCGCTCTCCCCGCACTGTTCGCTGCAAGAGCACGAGGACCACCACCAAACACCCGGGTCACCCCTGCTGGTGCCCGAGCTGATGTGGAAGCGTATCGGCTTCATCCGCTTCTCCCCCGAGTACTGGTTACTCGGAAGCCTCATCACGGACCGGCTGTCCGCGCAGACCACGACGGTGACTGCAGCAACGGGTACCTCCGCCCTTGAACAGTCGATGTCGTTATCGGCTGCTATTAGTCCCGGAGGAGGGGGAGGAGGAGGGGGAGGAGGATCCATATCATCCGAATCGTCGAGCAGTGTGCGCTGTGGCGGCGTCAAGGCGAGGTCTACTGAGCCAATTTTGGGCAAGTATGACCAGACTAGTTTGCGCCAGCTGGATGATTTGATTACAGGCTTTCAGAAGTTTGGTATTGGATCGTCGTAGTGTTCTAGTAGTGTAGAATTCGGGCTCTGCTGGTTGGGGTCGGGTAATGTGTCGTGGCATTGCTCGGAGTAATCACGCTGTGCTAGTGTTAATTTACACTCGGTCAGGATTCAAATGTAACGGTCTCAGGCAGTATATTGCAACTA